GCTCTCTCTCGCTCTTGGCGAATTCGCCCCGCTTCGCCGCCCTAGATAAGTTAGGCTTAAGAATATTTTATAACGAGAAGGAAAAAAGGGTCGATAAAGATTATTGAATTCGAGCGCTCGTCCCTTTTTTAGTCTCCTCCGTCTTTCGTTAAATATATAAAATTTGCAGCCACCAAACTCGGTTTTTTTTTGTTAAAGTTCATTTAGAAAAACTATTCTAAAATTTCAGAAAGTCAGAACGCGAAAGCGTTTAAACTTAACAGTGTTGGCTTTATTCTCGACAAGCGACAAATTCAATCCGTGTGTTTTATGGCGAAGGGTTCCTGAATATATATCTAATTTTCAAGGGTCGTTGGATTATATTAGTCCGTTTCGTTTGCCGTTTTGTAAACGCCAGAGTACAAAGCTGTCAAAACAGTAGGTTTCTCAGGGTTATTATAGGTCAAAGAAGGTCAAGTTGGGTTTTTCATCCAATAAATTCATGGCGAATGTTTTTGGAATCCTCTCGTTATTAACCACATTGATTACACTAGTCAACCCTAGAATTAGGCTGTGGCCCAAAATAACTTCTTATAGATTTCGGGATTTACAATTTTTTAACGAAAAACTGCCAATTGGCAGTTGGGTCCGCAACCTTCCAAAAATTATTTTTTGTCTATTTTTTTACTTTTGAGATTTGGTTAGCGTTGGGTTATAGCTGCATTTGTCGGCTTTTCAGAACTGCAACCAGATATAAGATACTTAAGTTATGTGAAAAATAAAAGCACTACCTCTGAAAAAAAAATAACAGATTTTAAAAATTCCAAAAAAAAAAAAATGACACCATAAAAAATATAATAAAGTACTACAAAAATTTTTAAATCCCGAAATCTATCAGAAAAAGTCATTTTGGTTCACAGCCTAAATAAAAAGTTCAATTTTGTCGAGTAGTGTTACCTTCAGAAAGGGTAAAACAGATAATGGCGAATAATATGCATACTTATTGGATCGATTTAAATAAAACGCCAAGAAAAAATCTTTTCATGAATTAGGCTACTAATTGCTCCCACACCCACCCCATTTTCTGGATTTAGTCCCTAGTAATTTTTTTTTTGGTTTTCAAACCGGAAAAAATTATTCGGCGTACAGAGATTTGAGTCCAATGTAGTCTTCTCTCTAGAAAAGCTTATTTTGAAGACCTCGTTAAATCCTTTTTTTTACGGGATGCAAAAATTAGACAAATGCTCGTTGCTGCTTTAATGGCAAAGATAAATTTTAAATCAATCTTATGGGAGATAATAGCACAAAGCATCCATATTCGCTTAGCTTAGGTCAATATTCATTCATATAATAGTTGCCCTAATCATATGCTCGTTATTGTTTTGCCCACTGTTGTTATTGCTAATGTCCAAAAACTTAACTGTAACGTTCTCACACGTATAGCCAAAACGCGCAGCTGCACGCGAATACATCGATGTGCACCGTCTTTGTATTAGAGCGTCGCATCGCGTGATCTTCTAATTCCCTTTTGGGCTCGACTACATTTGTGGAGTTGAGTCAGTAAAAAATTAAATTTGAGACTAATCGCACGAGTATTCATTACCCCCGCAATTGTCACCCCCGCTATTTTGTCGGCACCGGTTTGTCTATAACCCGCTGTACAAATAACCTATAAACCACCAATATTACATATAGGTTAGGTTAGGTTAGGTTAAGGCGGCTGTCGGGATCGTCAGAAACCCTACACACCTAGACCGGCTTCGGCCCGTTGTGATACCGCATAGGTCGTTCCCTCTTCCCTCGTGAGACACTATGTTATCCGTTGTCCCATCCGGATGCCCTTATGAAGCCTGCGATCCGTCTAGGATTGATTGTAGACATGTCCGAAATGTCAATTAGGAAAGGTGCACCCAAGTATTGATGTTGAGGGCCGGACAGGAGCAGAACAGGTGTTCCACAGTCTCCTCCTCGTCCTCATCTCTACAGCTCCGACAAAAGTCGTTATAGGGGGCACCCAGCCTGTTAGCATGGGTGCCTATTAGCCAATGTCCCGTAAGGGGGCGTATGACTGAGCTGCACCTGCTCCTACTGAGTTTGCAAAGCTCATCGGTGCGCTTCCTAGTAATGTTAGGCCATGTTTGCCGAGTTATGCGACATAGTGGCACTGTTTGCCATCTGTCATTTATTAGTTAAAATGTTCTTTTATTTTGAGCTTGCAGGTTGCCATTGGCATACGAATATCCTCCTTATCATGGAGAAGGGGGATTGTTGTACCAGCTCTGGCCAGCTCGTCTGCTATACAGTTGCCTTCAATGTCCTGGAGGCCCGGGACGCATATTGGGCTGATGACAAACTGATAAGCCATCTCATGGAGAGATTTTCGACAGTTTGCCACGGTAGCCGAGCTGGTTGTTATCGCATTCAGTGATTTGATCGCAGCTTGGCTATCACTATAGATATTTATATAAGTTGCCGTAGGGGCACGTTCCTGAAGGCAGCTCAAGGCTTCCCTGATCGCTATGACTTCCGCTTGGAAGACACTGCAGTGATCTGGGAGCCTAAAAGAGTGTCTTATATTCAGATGTTCGGAGTTGGAGTTGTCCAGCTTTGAGCCATCAGTAAAGATATGAATGGCTCCATCTTGGCCAGGTGGTCCCTCGAGCCAGTTGGTTCTGTGAGGGATGATTGTTACAAAAGGGGTAACTGTATACTCCCTCGGAACGCAGTAGTCCGTTCTTGTGGGGACGATTTTGTTTCCATTTAGGATAGACGCATGGCCGGTGTGATGTGACACCCATTGGTCAGAGTCTCTAAGACGGACTGCTGCCATTTCTGCCTGATCCTTACCTGCTCAGAGCTCCACTGATGCATAGGGCTGCAGTGCGCTGCACCTTGCCCAGTTGTTTAGTGATGGTCCCCTTCGATGGGGTAGGCCACCACACTGCGACTCCGTAGAGTAGTATTGGTCTAATTATTGGGCCTCTGTGATGGCTCCCGGTATGACGTTGTTAAAGGCTCCCTCGATATCTAGGAAAGCTATTAAAGAGTATTCTTTGATGTGTAGGAATTTCTCTACTGTCGAGATTACTTCATGGAGTGCCGTTTCCGTGGATTTTCCTTTTCGGTAGGCATGTTGTGCGCCTGACAGCCACTGAGGATTTATGGTTGTTCTCAGCTGCAGCCCGACTAGTCTCTCAAAGGTTTTGAGAAGAAAGGACGATAGACTTATTGGTCTGAAGTCTTTTGGGGTTGTGTGTGAGGGTTTTCCTGCTTTGGGGATAAAGACTACTTGAGCCTTTAGCCAAGCGCGGGGTATTTTTCCCACAGTCAGTATCTTCCTAAAGATACTTTGCAGCCAGTTGATGGCCATGACCCCGGCTTTTTGTAACTGAGCCGGAATGACTTGGTCTGGACCAGGCGATTTGAACTATTTAAAGCTGTTTACTGCCCAGCTAATATTCCGTTTTGTGAGGATGTGCACCATCGAGGTTTCGGGCCTTCACTTGGGGTGTCTGCCGGCTCGATGGTCGTGCACCCAGGGAAATGAGTATCGAGTAGAATATGTAGGGAGTCCTCACTAGAGTTTGTCCACGTACCATCCATTCTCTTGAGATATCCCACCGAGGGGGATGTTTTTGACAGGATCTTGCGTAGCCTTGCGGCTTCTGACGTGTCTTCGATTTCGGAGCAAAATTTTTGCCAAGAGGCCCTTTTTGCTCTCCTAGTTTCTTTTTTGTATATGGTTAATTTTCTTTTGTAATTTTCGACAATAAATGCAGAGCCAGATCCATCAGCACCAGTCCATCTGGACTCACCTAAGGTCCAGATCAATCTTTCTGATCACCCGAAGCGTAGGTCTGCATTGAGTGCAGTGGTAGAGCATACTTTATTTTCTGCGATACACGACAGACCTTGCTATCGCCTTCCTAGGAGCTAATAAATTTCCCTCCTTCTTCTCACCGGAGCGTATTTTATCCTCCGCAACTCTTGTCTCTCGGAGCGTACTTTATTTTCCGCATCTCTTGTCTCCCGGAGCGTGGTTTATCCTCCGCAAGATTACCTTCTCCCAGACCGTACTTTATCCTCCGCATCACTATTAGATTTTTGGTAAAAGTGGATGTCAGTAACGCAGAGAAGAAAACGTTTCCGATATAAATTATACATACTTTTCATCAGCTTCAATAGTCGAGTCGATATAGCCATATCTGCCCGTCCGTCCGTCGGTTCGTCTGTCCTTCTTTTTTTTCACCTAGTTCTCAGAGACTATAAGAGCTAGAGCAACCAAATTTTACCAGTCGTCGTCAGGAGGGGGCAGGGGAAGCAACTGAAAATTAATTTCTTCATTCTGGTTATAATTATGATCCGATCTAATTCAGATTCGGCAGTCTGGTAGATATGGGCATTCTCTACGATAATGCGTTTTTAGTTTTATCGTATCTTTGAAAATGTGCCTGCCACAGATTTTCGTCCTTTGTGATGGCGGAAGGGGGCGGGGCGAAATTTTGAAATACACTTGTAGCAGTGTGATATCACATGAGTGTGGAAACCAAATTTGGTTGTCCTAGCTCTTATAGTCTCTGAGATCTAGGCGCTCAACAAGACGGACAGACAGACAGACGGACAGACAGACATGGCTATATCGACTCGGCTATTGATGCTGATCAAGAATATATATACTTTATTGGGTCGGAAACGTTTCCTTCTCTGCGTTACACACATCCACTTTTACCACAAATCTAATATACCCCTTAACTCTTTTTTGAGTACGGGTATAAAAAGTAAAATTTTTTAATATTTTATTTACTTTACATAAATCCGTTTCCTGTTAGGTTGTAGGTAGGTTTGTAAAAAAAAAGTATGAAAATTCATAATAATTTATTTTATTAATATAGGGTATAAAACAAATCGTATTTTAACGTTTATATTTTATTGAGCTGCGGGTATATAAGTAATTAAGTCCTCTTTATAATAATTCCTGTAAATAACGAGTCGAAATATCTCAAATTTGTTTTAACTTCAAGCGAATAATCTTCGTGCGGAGCTTTTATTCTCGCCAGTTATATCGCTAACAATTGGATTAACCTTAGCTGTACTGGTCGCCGTACTAGCAATTATACTCGCTCTGCGGATACCATGCACAGCTTCATCTAGAAGGCGTCAAAAAGAATTGTCCCATGAGAATATATCAAGAGATGAATCACCAGGACCAAGTGATAAAAGTTCTGCAAGTAAGGATCTAGACGATTATGATGAAAAAAATCCCGATGTTGTGCCCGAAACTATTGATTCAGATGATCAGGTAACAATCGAGTACTTTAAGTATTAATTATGTATGTATGTTAAGCTAGTACGATTTTTTATTAACTAATGGGTTATACTCCCATTAATGAGTTGAGTTGTTTTTTTTTATGTCTAATTTTTTGTTTTTCAAGATTCTGTACTGTAAAAAAAAAAGTTGATAGACCGTGAATTATAAAAAAGTTAACTAGCGGTCCAAATATGTTTTTTTTTCCGAAAATTTTAATTTAAAAAAAATATGACTTTCGAACCGATGCTCAGAAGCAAAAAAAAGTCGATATCGCGAATTATAAAGAATTTAGGTCCAAGGTCCAAGGTATCCCTGTCGGCTATAGTTTTTTTTTTTAAGTGAATATATATATCCAAATTGTGACTAACTTGGCCAAACGCGAAATTTTTGACATCGATGCGAGGTCTTTATTGCCCTCGCCTTAGAATACCGGACCGACTTAAGATTAAAAAATTATGCACTCTATTACACAAGTGCACACTAAACAAAAAATGATCCTATATTCCTTATCTGAATGAAGTGCTACTCGCACACTATCAATATTCATTACTGCCCACAAAACTAGAGTCATAATCGAGTCCAGGACGGGCCCTTACGAACCGTCAAAGACATCAGACGTATTTATACCCGTACTCAAAAAAGAGTTAAGGGGTATATTAGATTTGTGGTAAAAGTGGATGTGTGCAACGCAGAGAAGGAAACGTTTCCGACCCCATAAAGTATATATATTCGTGATCAGCATCAATAGCCGAGTCTATATAGCCATGTCCGTCTGTCCGTCCGTCTGTCCGTCTTGATGAGCGCATGGATCTCAGAGACTATAAGAGCTAGAGAAACCAAATTTGGTTTCCAGACTCATGTGATATCACACTGCTACAAGTGTATTTCAAAATTTAGCCCCGCCCCCTTCCGCCCACACAAAGGACGAAAATCTGTGGCAGGCACAGTTTTAAAGATACGATAAAACTAAAAACGCAGTATCGTAGAGAATGCCCATATCTACCAGATTGCCGAATCTGAATCAGATCGGATCATAATTATGGCCGGAATGAAGAAATTAATTTTCAGTTGCTTCCCCTCCCCCTCCCGACGACGACAACGCAATTCATTTTCCTTCTCGCTCGCACACTCTGCCGCGTTCAGTGCGCGAGCAACCCCTAGCGGAGGAGATGTAGAATCTAAATGGTACTTGTACAAACTACATGTTAGATGTAGAATAGACATTGTAGATGAGATGTAGATAACAAATGTAAAATGTAAAATTTTTTTTTTAATTCTAAAATTCTAAAAAATCATGCTCAAAAATGTATATACTGACTGAGGGTAGGCATGGGTATTTGCGGCCATGTTACCCTTTATATTTATCAAACCGTGCTATAATATAAACTAATAGAAACGATGAAATAAATCAAGTGCCAATGTGTAAAAGCACAAGCTCCGTAAACAAAGAAAAAATGAGCCAAGCTCGGCCACAACAATATCGTCGGTTCTCGTCACTCATCGCACGGTATTGTCAATGCCTCAAGATCCCTATCTTCAAACTAATAAGTACGAAAACCGCTAACGGAGCGCTAGTTTAGACTGGGATCGATCGCTATGTGAAAATAAACAGAAAATTAAGTCCACAAAACTCACAAGGCAATAAACAAAAATAAATTTTGGAAGGTCGAATTCCATTGCAAATGTGACACTATCTAGCAACATATGAGTCATATACGGATCAATATGAATTAAAAAATTGCTTTGGAAAGATATGGGGCTTCATTTAGAAAAGCCGAGACAAAATGGCACACCATAAAAAAAAAAATAAAGTACTATCAGAAAAAGTCATTTTGGTTCACAGCCTAAATCAAAAGTTCAATTTTGTCGAGTAGTGTAATTGAATTCGTCGGATGTTTCAAATAATATTGAAATTTAGAAACTAGTTCATAATTACAATAAGGTAATTTATTGAGCTACTGAGCTTCTTCAGTAGCGTTGTTTTGCAAGATTATTTAAGAGACGATGATTGTTCAGTTTATTTTAATTAAGTTAATATATATGTATTATCCAAAACTAGCGAAAGGTGTGCGGATTTGATAACGAGAGTTAACGATGGGTCGATTGAAAACGCGGGGGGCGGTTCAAGACTGTTGAAGTTGATATGTTTATGTTAGGTTACTTTAGAACTCTGTGGCAGGCAGGTCACTGTGCCAGACAGCCAAACGTTTAACTACGGTGATGATCGAATTTGAAGTGACTTCTGCCTTTTCTGATGAGCCTCCCCCACAGCGGCTGACGAAAGCCGAGAAAGAGCAAGAGCATAAGTACAAGCAAACAAACGGTTATAAAGAGAGACATTATATTAAGAGATGCTCAACTACACTATGTGCTGCCATAGGCCGGCGCTTAGCCGAACAGTATTTTTCTATTTTTTTTGTAGTTACTGTTAAAAAATTAAGGATTTGTGAAAATCAAGAAGTTCAGCTGAGGTTGATATGTATATTAAGTTAACTTGTTCGCAAAACTTGTGCAGTTTTTTTACTGCCAATAACTGATTAATGACGATATTGATGGTGTCAATATATATGCAATAGATTTCACCGAATTATCCAACTCATTCAGCAAACAATTTTTTTTTTTTTAATTTTCTTGCTTACTATTTTTTTAAATTTTGGTAGCAACATCTAAAAAATTTTTTTAAATAAAAATAAAAACTTTAATATTACTATCAAAGTCAAGATAATAAAATTAAGGGGTGTCCGGTTTTAGTTCCAAAAAAACTTTTTTTGGTCCCACCCTAATTTTTTTTTTTTCTCTTTTTTTTTTTTTCCCCCCAAACAAATAAATGTTTTTTTTTTTTTTTTTTTTTTATTTTTTGTGTGAAACGCAGAAAGGGAAACGTTTCCGACCCCATAAAGTATATATATTCTTGATCAGCATCAATAGCCGAGTCGATATAGCCATGTCCGTCTGTCCGTCCGTCTGTCCGTCTGTCCGTCTTGATGAGCGCCTGGATCTCAGAGACTATAAGAGCTAGAGAAACCAAATTTGGTTTCCAGACTCATGTGATATCACACTGCTACAAGTGTATTTCAAAATTTCGCCCCGCCCCCTTCCGCCCACACAAAGGACGAAAATCTGTGGCAGGCACAGTTTTAAAGATACGATAAAACTAAAAACGCAGTATCGTAGAAAATGCCAATATCTACCAGATTGCCGAATCTGAATCAGATCGGATCATAATTATAGCCAGAATGAAGAAATTAATTTTCAGTTGCTTCCCCTCCCCCTCCCGCCCACGACAACGCATCTCATTTTCCTTCTCGCTCGCACATTCTGCCGCGTTCAGTGCGCGAGCAACCCCTAGCGGAGGAGATGTAGAATCTAATTGGAACATGTAAAATCTACATGTTAGATGTATAATATACATTGTATATGTAGATGTAGATATCATATGTAGCAAAAAAATGTAAAATGTAAAATTTTTTTTTTTTCTAAAATTCTTAAAAATCATAAGCTCAAAAATGTATATACTGACTGAGTACGGGTATAAGTAGAGTCGCGTCCCCAGAAGCGACTCACACGTTCCTTCTCGTTTCTGTTGTCTCCTTAATAGAAAGTGAATCAGAAGCAAGACACAAACTTTTCAAGGCTGAGAGAAAATATCATCCCAGAAAATGGGATGTTATTCACAAAGCTATGGATTCTTCTGATCCATTATTATCTAGTCTTTGCATTAAAAAAAACAACAGGATGCGCCAGCAGAGGTTTTCGATCTTTTGGATTCGAAAATCATATCCTTGTGTGTTGGCCACAAAGATGGAGGTACCTCCCAAAATTCGTGAGAAGATGATACAAATGAAGAATATGGACACGATGATGAAAGTGATACCTTTGGAATAGATTAAGAGGAAGAGATAGCAGACGAAATTTAAAACTAAAATATATGAAAATTATTAGTTTTTACAAAAATGTAATACAAATTTTAAAATTAAAAAAATGTATAATTTCCATTTTATCGTTATTTGTGATTTATTCGGAATATTCTAAGTAAGGAAAGCCAGGGATTAATTACACTACCCGACACCATTTCGCCACTTCGAACAAAACCAACTTTTTTTATATATTTGGGGCTTAAAACATGCTTAGCAATAATCCTTTTTGTTTTCTATTGCAGAGCTTTTGTAAGCTTTTTTCAGAAGTAGTGATTCTTTTCACATAATTTAAGTATCTTACATTTGGTTGTAATTAACTTTGCCATCCTGTAAAGCTATAAATTAGACGCATACACTTTGTAATTTCAGTTTACCGTATAGGAATTATTAAGCTTTTAAATGCAAATCTGATGATTTTTTTGCAGTTCGTTTGCGTGTACAGAAGGCAAAACAGAATATTGAATTGGTGCCAAATACTGTGATACACGTGTACGTGACCGGCAGCACAGCAGCAGCGCTTTTTCCTAAGCACAATAGATAGGGCCGTGCTGAGCTCTGCTGTACACACATATACACAGTTTTGGTTCGAGCGGAGAAGAAAACGCACGCGTTGTGAATTGCTGTCAAGACTACATAAGGTTCCTTTTTGAAGACTTTAATTTTTTAGTGGCTTTCCTTACCAATCAATCTACTAATTATAAAAAGTTTTAATTGTGTCTAACAGTGCTATTACTAAAATATCTGGAACATTAAGTAATTTTCTATTATCAAAATCATTATAGACGGACAGCACAAGGAACAGACAACAGATATCAACAATCCATACCGACCACAGTCCTAGCAGAGTAATATCTGTAAATGAGCCGCAACACATAACAGCTGCTGAAATGACATTACGTACTTCTCACGGAATGGGTTATTGTACTTTGCGCAGTGGAGTTCATAGTCCTGTACAAGCTTTGGCTGGAGAAATCTCAATTGTAAGTACTTGATTTTGTAGAACAAATTAAATAAATTAATATTAAGTACCAAAGCATGAAAAATAATGCCATGTGAAGCAATCTCCTGCTTCAAAAAAACCAAATAGTACTTACTATACCATGGAAAATTCAAATGTGGAATAACACTAGTCGACACGAGTTTTCCTCAAGGAACAAAACCAACTTTTTCTTTGGCAGAACTTTTTTTTAAGAATTTTTAAAGTCTGGTATTTTTGTTTAAAGCTTTTTTCAGAGCTAGTGCTTCTATTTTCACATAACTCTAGTATCTTACGCCTGGTTGTATAGAACTTTACTATTTTGAAAAGATAATTAAAACAGCTAGAAGCTTAGCCCAAACACTTTGTGATTTCAGCTTACCGTCTTGAAAATATAAAGCATTAAAATGCAAAAATTATGACTTTTGTGCGGTATTTTTTACGAAATTTTGAATTTAAAAACTCAGGAAAAGTCGAACAAAAATGATATCCTATGTTTTCTATTTTTTTTTGTATATTTGCATTAATTAGGCGCCGTTTAAGGTATTGCTCATTATCAAATTTATGGAGAAACTTTGGAGCTGAAATTCGTTAACCAAGCTTAAAAAATTAAAAGAATGAACAAAAAATACCTTTAGAAGGTTCCGGGCAAAACTACCGATTGGAAACAAAGCAAACGAAAAAGGGTTGTACATTTGGTACCTGATCGCATTCCTTTGTTCCCAATTGGCAGTTGGTTATTATTTTTTATTGATTATTTTTTCATTTTTTAAGTTTGGTTAACGAATTTTAGCTCCAAAATTTCTCCATAGATTGTAACGAACCATGGTTCCCCATGGTTCGTCACAACACAGGCAACACCTGTTTTTAAGTTGACAATATCTCTATATGTATAAATATATCTGTAACACTAAATAAACCTCAAATTTCCCCAAATTACATTCCTTTCCCACTGGTTTCCCGTTCAAGAAACGCGAACTACCAGAAAAATTCCTTTCCCACGGTACCTGTGCACATCGATCACCTTACCTGGGACATTGGATACTCACATGCGCGAGCCCGTGAGCAGTCTCCGACTTTCCTTACCGGGAATACTGGACACTGACTTCAGGGCTAAGTCTACACGCCGCATTATAGGCAATATATATTTATGTAAGAACCCTTCCCACATTCTGGAGTAGAAATAAGATATCTGTAAGACATTCATGGGAAAATGGAAGGACTGCCGATCTATAAAAAGGCAGTCCACCAGCCATGGTAGGAGGCAGTCAATCAGCCATCGCAGGCAGGCAGTCCACCAGCCATCGTAGGAGAGAGTCCACCAGCCGTAGCAGTCAGGCAAATAACAAACACTTGCTGGCAAAGTTCCTGGTTTCCCCAAATAAAGTCCTGCGAATTATAAATAACTTGTAATTCAGGACCCTGGACAGACTGAAGCATACCTCAGCCTGCGATAGGACATTACAAGATTACAAGATGAGCAATACCTTAAACGACGCCTAATTTATGCGTCTATCTAAAACTAAAAATGCATGCCGTTAGTGATGAACACAGAGAGAGATTTCACCAACAATTAAAAGCTATGGAACGACGGTATCAAGGTGTTTGCAATGTAATTTTGGTTATACCGAGTCCTAGGAATGGACACATACTTTTACTCCAATGCTGTAGAGAAAACCAGAGTCTGAAACTCATTCCGAATAATTACAACAAATTTTCTTAGTAACAACAAGAGTGATGATTACGTTAATATCGTTCAAGACCTAATTGACAATTATGAAAAAATTCGAGCCAACATGGGACTAAAAATCCATTTCCTGCACTCCCACTTAGACTTTTTTCCGTCAAACCTAGGGGACGTTAGTGATAAACACGGAGAGAGACTTCACCAACAATTAAAATCTATGGAACGACGGTATGAAGGTGTTTGCAATGAGAATATGTTGGTCGACTATGTGTGGACTCCCATAAGGGAATCTGATTCGAATGACAAAGAAAGACAGGCGCAAAACTTAAATTAATTTAAGAAAAGTAACAAGCAGTAGAAAACCAAATATATCACATCGCTTATTGCGAAGGCCCCCCTTGTACCGGTCTCTTGTCTTTTGGCATGTGCTGAGTCTTCGTTTTTGCTGGGTGTTGATCTCGTCATTTGAGAGCTTTGGTTACTTGGTTTTGCTGTGGTGGGGTTTGGGATCCATGGTTCGTTACAGAGGTCACAAAAAATATTAGAGATTATTGTCCATACTGACAATATAAATTGAATACGAAGATGAGGCTCTTAATCTTTATCTATACCTATATAAATATGGCTTGAGAAACGTATGGCTTACTGATATAATTTTCGTTACTTCAGCAATTTTCAGCAGTAGATCTTAGACTTTTAATCGCGCAAACAATTGACTGATACCCACGTTCTGTTATTGTATTGAAATTTGTTGTAGCTCTGATATGCTTCTCAGCATAAATTAATTGTAGCATGCAATAGTATAGCCAGAAATGTAAGAAGTATCAGAAGGGTCTAACCACTTACCATACAGTATGGTTAGTGGTCAGCATTTCTCATATGAAGTTTGGAACATTGACAAACTACCGGAATTTAGTTTTTTTATGTTGCATACAATTTTATACAAAAAAGAACTGAGCTATCTCTGTACACTGTACATACATATATGAAATATTATGTTTAAGTTTGTTTATGTAATTGCCTGTTCGAGACGCAAAATTTTTATGGATTGTGTTTGTGGATACTGCACTAGGAAATACGAAAAATTAAATTTACTTATATGCAATCGGAGAAACGACCCCACATTCATATTATAAAAAACCGACATGAATTTATTGATCTCACCGTAGTCTAATACCCTTTTTACACTGCGCCGCATCATTCGATTTGTCCGTTAAATGGAACATGCGACAATGATGCCCTGTGGATAGAAGAAGACAATGATGCGGCAGCATCTTTAATCATGCGGCGCATCATTGGCAAGTATTGCCGTATTCTGTCTAGTATTTTTACAAAATACTGAAATTATTTGGGCTATCGACGGGTATGGATGGGATATCGATAGCAAACATCTGTTTTTATCGCATCAAACAATAACAAAGCTGAAGCGAAAATAGATGCGGCGGTGTCTAAACGCCTCGCATCATTTTTCCGCACCTTCGACAATGATGCGTTAGTGTAAAAAGGCTATCAGACATTGTCAAAAGCTTAAAAGTACTAGCGGACTACTCCTTCTTTGAACACAGGTATATCGAGACGATACTGTCCCTCGAGTACCCAGAACCTCCTGACCATACTTATTATAGGAAAATAAACTGGAAAATTCATAGCACAACCATGGAGGAACTACTCCCCTGAAACGAACCAAAGAACCACACAAGACGCCCTAAATCGTCCAGAAAAAATCCTTCACGGTAGCATGATCCTCAAAAGAAAAGAAAAGAAAAGAAAAAAACCCTGGTGGTCAAACCAAATAGATATCCTACGTAGTCACTTGGTGATGTTCATCGACTAATTCATCGATCAACCATTGGGGGACGAAGACATCAATGGGATCGTCCAATAAGTCAAGTTCCCAATTACCAATTGGGAACAAAGAAAACGAAAAAGGTTTGTGCAGTTGGTACCTGATCGCGTTCCTTTGTATTTCTCCACAGATTTTAATGAGCAATACCTTAAGCGACGCCTAATTAATGCATCTATAAAAAAAACAGAGAACACACAGAGAACGACTTTTCCTGAGTTTTTAAAGTCAAAATTTCGTAAAAAAAATACCGCACAAAAATCATCATTTTTGCATTTCAATGCTTTATATTTCCCAGACAGTAAGCTGAAATCACAAAATGTTTGGGCTAAGCTTCTAGCTGTTTTAATAAACTTTTCAAAATAGCAAAATTCTATACAACCAGGCGTAATATACTAGAGTTATTTGAAAAAAAGCGCTACCTCTGAAAAAAAGCTTTTAAAAAATACCAGTTTTCACAAATTCATAAAAAACGAGAAGGAACGTGTGAGGCACTTCTGGGGACGCGACTCTACTTATACCCCTACTCAGTCAGTATATACATTTTTGAGCATATGATTTTTTAGTATTTTGGAATAAAAAAAAAAAATTTTACATTTTACATTTTTTTGCTACATCTGTTATCTACATATACATATACAATGTATATTATACATCTAACATGTAGATTGTACATGTATGTTCTACATCTCCTTCGCGCACTGAACGCGGCAGAGTGTGCGAGCGAGAAAGAGAATGAGTTGAATGAGCTTGGTGTTGGCAGGAGGGGGCGGAAGAACCAACACAAAATTAATTTCTTCATTCTGGCTATAATTATTATCCGATCTGATTCAGATTCGGTAATCTGGTAGATTTGGGCATTCTCTACGATACTGCATTTTTAGTTTAATCGTATCTTTAAAAATGTGCCTGCCACAGATTTTCGTTCTTTATGGTGGCGGAAGGGGCCGGGACGAAATTTTGAAATACACTTGTAGCAGTGTGATATCACAAGAGTCTGGAAACTAAATTTGGTTGACCTAGCTCTTATAGTCTCTGAGATCTAGGCGCTCAACAAGACGGACAGACAGACAGACAGACAGACAGACGGACAGACAGACATGGCTATATCGACTCGGCTATTGATGCTGATCAAGAATATATATACTTTAAGGGGTCGGAAACGTTTCCTTCTCAGCGTTACACACATCCACTTTTACCACAAATCAAACCATTTTTAAGCCCCAAATCATTAAGAAAAAATTGGTTTTATACCTTGAGGAAAACTCGTGTTGACTAGAGTAATAATAATGGAATAATCACGTTCGCTAACGACAATTCGCAGTCGGAAAACTCCGAGAGTCCCCTAATAGTAGAATAAAACCAGAAGGAACGTGCGAGTCGCTTCTGGGGACGCGACTCTACTTATACCCGTACTCAGTCAGTATAAAATCAAGAATATATATACTTTATGGGGTCGGAAACGTTTCCTTCT